AATGATCATTTACACATTTCACCATTCTGTACCGTTACATGTCCATTACTACCTAACCCAGGTATTCAGCAGGGTGAGAGCTGCATCTCCAGATCTGTGGCCAGGTCTATATGTAAACTGAACTGAGTCGAGACAGTTGCCAACAGATCATTTTAAACTATGTAACTATGACCCTCTCCATACACCTATACAAACACTGGTCAGTGTAACAGGTCCATGATGATTTAACTGGGAAGCCGTACAGTGTGTCCCAATTCAGGGGCTGTGTCCTTCGGAGGCTGCATTTGAAGGCCGATTGAGTCACAGTGGCGCGACTAAGCTGTCCCATTTTGAAGCCTCCTACATATGTGGCCGAGAAATGTGTCCTTCTTTTCCATGGCAACAAAGGATGCAGTGGGTCGATCCTTCACCAGCCAACATTTCCCGAGGTTCACTGCGCGCCGGTGAGGATTCGAGAACATGGCAGCATCAACAGAGAAGCAAACGGCGGCTGAAGAGACACTTTTAAATATAAGTTAAATACATATAAATATAAGTATTGGGTAAGGCGAACGGCTAGTGATACAAATGTAACAATCTTATCAGTAGTCGGCAGTAAAGCATCTCCATCTCTAATAAATCAAAAAATTAACAAATAAGATCAAAGTTTCTGTCTCCGTCTTTAAAGAACTTTAAAAGAACTTGACCAGAGTGGTGTTTTGTAATGCAGCCATAAGAGCGGGAACAGCAGTGCTGCCAGTCTTTTAGGTACAATTCTACTTATGGATAATTTCCACAACTGGGGAGCTACATGTTCATCAAACAAGTGCTGGAAAGGTTTAGTAAGAACAGATGTAAGATGAAACACACAGCTCCTAGGAATCCTCCCCCTCAGACCTTCAGGACCTGCAGTCTTATTCAGCTGGATACTTGCTAGACCAGCTGCAACATCAGGCTCATTCAGCATTATAGGAGTAGAATCAACAGTGGCATTAGCTGCGCCCCCAATGGCTGTAGCAGTCCAAATGAACTCTGGGAGATCAAGCTTTATAGGCTCTACAATAAAAAAGCTCAATATCTTCAGAGGTTTAGCACAATATTTCTTATGATTGTTGTTCTGAATTTTTTTAGAGGCAGAAATTGATCAAGGCTATTTGACAGAGTGAACTGGTCCTTTAAATAATGTGACTTTTGTACAGTACTGTATGTGTGTATCCACAATTGTGTGCAAAAGTTTTGGTGCCCCTATGTCCCTGGTCAAACAGTTTGTTTTTTATTCATTTCATATATGTTTTTTTTTTTTCCTTTGCAGGAAGATACTTTGTATAAGTATTTTCTGGTCTTTGTTGTTGTTGTTGTTGTTGTTGTTTTACTTTCTTTGTCATCCTTCATGATTCCTCTTTTGTCCTTATTGTGCAAACAACAAAATAAAAAATAGAATTAAAATAAAAATGATGTCTTGTTGTTTCTCTAAGTGTAAACAAGTGAACACATCCTCTACAGAGAACAGACTTCTGTATTTTAATACACAATTACTATTACTCATTATTCTTATTCTTATTATTATTATTATTAAAAATTAATGATGAAACTATTATCATTATTATATATTATGATTAATAATAATAAAATGTGGCATTATATTTTGTTTTTTTTTTCCAACACACATATATATATATACACACATATGGACAATATGTCATTTCAGAACATCCAGCATTTTATACTTTCTTCTACTTGTTTACTATTTATTTATATTGTGCTTGTCAGTCAAATCCCTTAAATAATGGATTATGGAAATATACCTACCACTGAAATATAAACATAAAAAAAGACTTTACAGGGAGATTCAATTTAAATTATGACAGATTTCATGCTCAGGTGTTAAGGAATTCAGCTGCTGTGTGAACTTAACTGGAATGCAACTACTTGATTATAAAGTAATTATAATTCATAATGGAAGAACCCAGTTTAAATTTCAAATTCAAACATTCAAATAAGATATTATTGTACAATAATTTAGAATCTGATATGGACAAAATCCACAAACGTTGTGTTTGCAGCACAGTTTTGAAATTGTATTAATTGTTAATTCATGTTTATTATGTTTGTCTGTGTGTGCATATGTACAAGTACAGGTTACAAATGTAATAATTTCATAAAATACAAATATTTTAATGCTTTCTCAATATATATTTAAAATTATGAAAATAAATAATAAGCACATTATAAACTATACAACGCATAAAAATGGTTTATATATTTGAACAATTACAACAATTCATATATTAAATCTTTATTTTCTAAATTTCTTTCATTTCTAAATTTAACTGTATTTATTTCTTTGTCTGAGCGGAGATGATCAAATCAAAGTAAATGAAACTGCCTCAGTATTAAAGAAAATACAGTGTAAAGAGAACATAAGCTAATCTCCCATTAACAGAGAGAGAATTTAACCACGCAGTCGACTTTAGGCTGAAATTTCAAACATTTCAAAACATTTGCGCATCAATTTTGTCCATGGTCCGCTTCACCCATCTAAATCCGGGGTCCACACACACCCTAGCATTGTTCTTCTTTATGGTAAAACTAGAAGGAAAGAAAATGTGAAAAAATAAGGTGATAATCCTGTAAAATATATATGATATGCATGATGATAAAATTGAGATTAAAGTTCAGTGAAACGTCTGTTGCAAAAGATCAGGGAGTAAAAACTTACATCACTCCAGCTCTGCTACAGTCAGATCTCGTTTCTTCATAGTTTAAAATGGCACTGATATGGATGGGTCTGGTATAGAAAGTGAAACAGCATGCCTTTGGTGCACTTGAACCTGAGTGAACAGAGTAATAATAATATTCATCATCATAATAAAACTTTGATGAAATTCAGATGAACACTAGTTAAATAGTAAATAAAATCTATACATTGTGTAACAATATAACTCTATTTATATTTTGTTAAAGGTATTTTTGTATTAAACTGAATTGTTTTCAAAATGTTTTCTCTCAGTAGATTATTATAAAAAGCAAAGTGAAGTGTTAAATCAACACTTTGAGGCAGTAAAGTTTTAGATAAGATAAACAAAAAAGCGCAGAATCTGTTCAAATACAATACTAAATAAGTGTGAGAAGTGTTACATTTCAGTCGTTCTGAGATTTTCAGCCAGAGAATTCCCAAACTTAATAATAAAAATGAATAAAAAAGTATATCAATCATTTGAGCCTCATTCATAAACTAAAATCTCTCTTATATCAGTTTAACTGTAGGAATTCTGAGACAATCACAGGTTTAATAGCATCTAGATCATTAAATGAGTCTATAGATTTGTAGACATTGTGTGCTAAGGACAGATATAGCTGGCTGTCATCTGCATATTGATAAAAGCAATTGTTATTTTTATTATTTATGCCAAAAATTATTTAAAGAAAAAAGGCCCTCAAATAAAAAAGGAATTCCATTGATTTCCATTCAGATTGGTTTAGTTTTGAGAAGATTTTAACTTGTATTTAAAATCCATCCGATTCAGGAAATTTAGTCTATTACATGTTCACAATAAACTGACTGTACAGTAATTTCGTTAAAAAGAGTAACTAAATAACTCAAGTAGTTTTCAAATAAATTACTTTTTTACTCTTAAGTGATTCATTTCTTTTTTTAATACTTTTACATTTTTATTACAGTAACAGTACGTAAGTTAGGATTTTCAGTATTCTTTCCAGGCCTGTAAAATTATCACAACATAAATACACACACACTTGCGGGGCGGGGTGCTGGAGCCTATCCCAGCAGTCATTGGGCAGATGACAGGAAACACCCTGGACTGGTTGTCAGTCCATTATAGGGCACAACATAAATAACAGATTCCAATTGCAACGGCTGCTATTGAAATAATGAAGGAATTACACACACCTGTTTCCTGTGTTAGACAGCTAACATAACAATAACTTTGTCAACATCACAATATTTATGGATCTGACTGTATGAAAGAGGCTCAAATCAGAATTGAAACTGTCGGATTCAATGTGTTTTTACTGTTTACACTACAAGTCCAAACCAGAGCTTAGGCCTTTGTGACATTTTATCTCAACGGCTGTTAATTATGGATCTGACTGTATGAAAGAGGCTCAAATCAGAATTGAAACATTTGGATTGTGTGTTTTTACTGTTTACACCACCAACTCAAAAACAAATCTGTGTCACATGTGAAGACTTTTATCTGCAGTGTGAATAGAGTCTTAGACTGTGTCTTTCACATCTAGTTTGTTTTTAAAGTCCAAGCCAGAGGTTTGGTCTTTGTGACAGTGTATTTATTTTATTAGGTTAGATTGGTTTCACTCTACAATAAAGCCCAAATGACACATGTTGTATATTGGTAAGAAATTTGAGGATGCATGTGTCCTTTTGCTCTCATATTCACCACAATTTGAGCCAAAAAACTCCCACTTTGCAGGAAAAAAGGACTAAGATCCTTGGGTACCACAGTAAAACAAAAATAATAAAACTTACTTTATATCTGCTTCTTTATGGTGGTTGTCAGTGTGAATGTTACTAAACAGGATGCTGATGGCAGTTATGTTACACAATCCATGTACCAAAGGCATTGCTTCACTATTATTTTTGTATGCTCATAATAGCAGCAGCTTGTGCTGGAGGAATAGTATAAGCCCAAAGAGTGAGATGTTGAAACAGGGAGATTATGTAAAAATATTACAGGAGCTGACGGGCTGCTAGTAAGAAGAGAAATCATGCTCTGATGTTGATTTCCCTAATTTTGGTGCGGACATCACAAAAAAAGCAAGTGAACTAAACCAAGTCCACTTGTAAGTGAACCGAGGCAGGCCATTTTTGGAGTGCTGTCCAGCAAGTTCCTGTCCCGACACTTAATAGAAGTAATAAATGAAACAAGTAGTAAAGTAAGTAAGTAGTAAATTATATCATCACAACAGATACAATCATTCAGGGGATAATCTGTGGTATGAAAGAGCCAAAAACTCGAAGATGGACTTTAACTTACTCTGTCCCTCTGCACAGGACTGAAGGTAGAGGATGACCAGCAGACCCAGGAGGAGAGAACGAGGACAGACGCTCATGTCTGCAGCTTCAGCTCCAGGAGATGATGATCTATGATCTGAACTGAACTGTAAAGAGGAAAATACCATCTGACCCTCAGCCTCTAATCTGAGCCAAACATCTCTGCACTGACAAAGCTCAGCACTGATAAATGAACAAAAGACAATATGAGCTCTAATATCACCCTCTAATGGCACTCTTAGTAAACGGTGGATAAAATGGTCATTAAAAACTTCTTTGTTGTAATTAGCTGAATTCATTACTGTCACTGCTAGAAATACTGATGAACAAAATGTGACTGAATATTAACTATATTTCACATTTTTAAGCCCACCTTAGAGCAGTGAACTTCAGGAGGTCATGAGTTTGAATCCTGGTGATGCCTCAGCTCTGCGTAGTGAGGAGTCTAAGAGGAGGGAGCCCCACACTGTAAGTCGTATCTTGTTGGTGGGAAGAGGAAATTACTAAATTGGGGCAGGAACAGAGTAAAAATCAGTTAGAATTTTAAGCAATTTCAGGTTATAAGGAGGCAGCCACATTCACCTTTTTTTTCTGAGTGAGCTCAACTTAAACTGTAGTTTATAGGTTAACCTATACAGAATTAAAGTTAGGAGAACATTTGAATAAACTAAAAAAAACTCTGCATGCTTAAATTACAACATCGACCTGGACCAATCTAGACCCTTTCCAACGTCCACCATAGACTGATCCTGCACCCCTTTAAAGTGCAGGCATGCAGTGCTGGTAAACTGGTTGTTCTGTTGTTCTTTCTAGCTAGCAGTGTGTATTTATTGCTCTGTATAAATATGCACTTATTAAGCCAACAGAAGTTCAGCCCTTCCCACTCACACTGAAGTTATAAGGAGTGTTTAAACCCAGACTACTTTTTGAATGGGCAGCCAATTGGAACAGAGCTCATTTACATATATCAGTCTTAAAGGCTGTAATTGTATGGATAAACGAGAGGCTGGAAAAATGGTCATGTAGAAATGACTGTGTTTTTTTTATAACCCACACAAATGTTACAAGTTGAGCAAAAATAAAATGCAAGAAAATGCAGGATATGGGCCCTTTAATGCTGTGAGTTCCTGCCAAAGTTATTACAGGCCTACACTACCCCCTTTTTTCCTACTGAGGAAGGAAAAGAGAGACGAGAAAACACTGGAGAGTCACTTTCACTTTCACAGCTCACAGTCTAACGGTTCATTACTTTACACAGGTTTCATTAATTTACACTGTAATTTCTGTATCAGACTCACAATCACATGTTTAAATGCTGTGAAAACAGCTGGTTTATGGACAGAACTGAACAGAAGCTTCTCAAACTTCTCTAAACAAACACCACACAGTCAGATCCAGACCCTCACACTGCACACAGAGTTATATAACACACTGATACACAGATAAACAGGATCATAAATCAGCTACAGAGATTAAACAACAACAGATAACAACAGAGAGATAAACATACAGATATAGTTGAGAGTATTTGTGAGTAGCTGTCACTCTTATCATGACAATCTCTACTAACAGTGACAGTTTATGAAAAAATAATGGTCGTAACTTTCCATAAAGAATGTAATGATACTGGAGCACATCTGCTGAATGTATCTAGAACCCTTTCAGAGAGGATTAAAGCTCAGATGGCTTTTAGAAAGTGATATTTTTGTTGGATACTGAGCAAAACTTACCTTCACAAAGTGTCCAACAGGCCTTCACTGTTTAATCTCGGCAAAAACAGAAGAGAAATAATAAACATGAGAGCCACCTAGAGGCAAAATTGTGAAATTCACCCACACAATCAATTTCTGTTTACATTTTTTCACCTTACCTAAAGCAGTAATTGTGCTCAGTATTTATGCATCAAACAGTTGTTTTTAGGAACATGAATGCTGTCAGAAGGACGTGCTGTTGGGAGAAAAGTGCAGTTCTGTCAAATCATGAATAAATGTAGCTCACAGAGTAATAATCTTAATAACATCAGTAACATCAGTGACATTACATCAGTGTTAATCTGTTAAACTGTGAGGGTCTGTATGAGACCCCCACTTCAACTCTTCACTCTTACAACTACAGAACTTCCGTTACTGAATGTTATCACAGTTACTAAATAATAGTTCATAGCAGATACTGAATAATTTATAGTAGTTACTGAACCAGTATAGTGATTAATAATTCATTGTAAATATTGAATAATTCATAGAAATTACTGAATAATTCACAGTAGATACTGAAACATTTATGGTAGATACGGAAACATTTATAGTAGATATTGAATAATTCATAGTAGATACTCAATAATTCATAGTAGATACTGAATAATTCATAGTAGTCGATGAATAATTCATAGTAGATGCTGAAACATTTATAGTAGTTACTGAATAATTCATAGTAGATACTGAATAATTCATAGTAGATGCTGAATAATTAATAGTAGATACTGAATAATTCATAGTAGTCAATGAATAATTCATAGTAGATGCTGAATAATTCATAGTAGTCAATGAATAATTCATAGTAGATGCTGAATAATTCATAGTAGCTACTTAATAATTCATAGCGGATACTGAATAATTCATAGTAGAAGCTGAATAATTCATAGTAGATGCTGAAACATTTATAGTAGTTACTGAATAATTCATAGTAGATACTGAATAATTCATAGCAGCTACTTAATAATTTATAGTGGATACTGAATAATTCATAGTAGCTGCTGAATAATTAATAGATACTGAATAATTCATAGTAGATACTAAATAATTCATAGTAGCTACTAAATAATTCATAGTAGATACTGAAAACTTCATATTGGTTAGGGAATTATTTATAGTAGCTAAAAATAATAGTAATGAACTAAATTACAGCTACATATCACTACATCATCTGCGTGAGAACCTTGATTATTATCTTCTCCGTTTTGTTGGTACAGTATTAATTCACTCTTTCTTTTGTATATTTGAATGTTTTTTGTCAGACAAGCAGCAGAACATGAATTGTGGGCTTGTGAGTCTGCTAGTGTTAGCTTTAGCATTAGCTTGTGTCCTATGCAGAAACTGTGAATAAAACAGCATGTAGCAATAGCACGTAGCCTGCAGTCTGACAGATCCTGATCCTTGGTTAGTTAATGTCACACAGTGATTTCTTTTGCTTTACTTTGTAGTTTTTGTTATTATAGATTTGTAAACCACAGTTTTAAACAATGTACTGGATGGTGTGAAGTAAAGTGAGTTAGTTTGTTAAGGCTCCAGGGTTGGGAGGGTTACTGTAAACATATATTCTGGTACAGGTTACTGATTAAAAAGATTACAAATGTGATCTGTAATTAAAGTGATGTAATCTGAAGACTTTCTGGTAGTTTTTTTTATTAAGCAAAGAGGAGAGAAAACAATTTCAGAACTTTAATCAAAAACAAATCAAATAGAAGTGCGCAGAAACAATGTAGGTGACAGTTATCTATGCTTCATGTGTGCTATTTTTAAGCCTGCTTGAAATGATGGAATTACATGGATATTCAAGTAAGGCATCCATGTTTGGAATCAAATTACCTAAGAACACATGGCTAACAACCATGCTTAACATTACTACACACTGAAAAGCACACAGCATCTCAAAATTTTTGTTTTTCATGAAATGCTGCTGCCAGTCAGCAACTCACAGCACTGCCTTTCATCATTTCCTCAATTACTGCATTAACTTAAACCCAGAAACCGAGCACTGAAAGCCATAGACACTCAATTTTCACAGAGAAGGCAGTCAGTCTGAAGTGCTAACCCTCCTTTTCACCTCTACTAACGTTACTAGCCTCGTCACATTTCACTTCGTACCTGTTCACTCGAAAACAGCACGTTTGTGAAGAATAAATTATCTGATACCAAATGTAATTAATCCACTAAATTTATTAAATGTGATATTGAGAAAGTTTTATTCCATTAAGATCAAACAAGCACAGGCAGAATATAACATTGAAAACCTATCCTGAAATTGAGATGAACTTGAGCTCGGTCCATTCTGCTGCACGATGCCACGGTGCTTCTCCACCAGTGTGTGGTAGAGGTCACTTAGTAATCAGTAATCATTAGTAGCCATTATCATTTCCAAAGCAACCAAGGTTTGTTTGCCAAGAGGCAAATATCCCCCCTTTCTCTGGCTGAAAACCCTGCAGAACTGTTCGAATGGTGGAACAATAAATAAACGCAGCTCGCCGTTCTCTCTTCAACTTTTTTTGGCTTACATTTTGCTGGGTCCAACTTTCAAGCCAAATACAGCTGATACAGCCACCAATCAGCATCAGAGCTGATGTTTTGAATAAATAAAGCCAATCAGAAATCATGAATATGTGATATATTTATAAAGGAATGTGTAAAATGAACCCTTGTGTGGTGTTGGGGTCTGTGGTTTTCAATGTTTATCAAAAGAAAAAACAATGCGGTTTATTATTATTTCAGCCTCAGATTCTTGGTCTTTGCTCATTTTCTGTGAAAAACATATAAAATAACCCATTTTCAGTGCCTTCACTCTGTTCACCCCCCACACATTTATATTACACATGTGGTGTTGGGCTGAACCCGCGGGGAGTAAAAGTGTGGAGGTGCTGTGTCCTTCACTCTGTTCTCCTCCCACACGGCCTGCTGTTAGTGTGTGTGTGTGTTGTGTGTGTGTGTGTGTGTGAGGGAGGACAACATGGACAGGCTGCTGACTGGCTACAGCTGCTAAAGGAGAACCCTATGCTGGACACTTGTGATATTTTGAACATCTGGTATTTTTACATAAATTGTTATGGCTGTATTGATTTAAAATACAATAATGCGGTGGGTCCAGCAGACCACTGAGTAACACATCAACACCACACAGGGGTTAAAAAAAACACACACAGTTAGAGGCCCTGAATTTTCCAGGGCCCTGGGCTTGCATTAAATCGCCCAATATGGAAATGACCGATCAAAACTCATGGTTGATGTTTTTTTTTCTCTGATTTGCGAAGTGGAACGTGGAATATAAAAATATAAATGAGTGTAGTAAATAGGTGGGTATAAGTAGGTACAGGTAGAAATAAAGCCTCTGTGCAGGTACATTTTTCCATTCATCAAGATACAAACAATGTAAATGTTCCCTCAAAGCTTCAACAGTGGTTCTAAGGTCTGATTGTGAACCTTAAATAAGTTTTTCCAGGTGAAAAGTTCGTATTTGTACCTTTTCATAAACGAATGTTTTAAACAGAACAGTAAAATAAAAGCCTGGAGGCGAGACGGGGTGTGTGGAGTCAGTACAGCTTAGAACATATCATTTCAGTGGATTATGGTTCAGTTATGTTCCCTGACTAAAGGTACTGAGATGAGGGTTCCACCCCAGTGACAAGAGGGGCACTGCCCCAGTGACAGTCTAGGACCTTTATTTCTGAGAGCGCACACAGACTTATGAGTGGATGTCAGTATATGGATACAGATCAGGACCGCTGCACTGGTGTCCATGGTGTCCATGTATCTGTGTTCCAAGAAGAAAAGTTTTAGGGTTTGCCCTTAAGATTTGGCAGAACCAGATAAACTCAGTTGGGTCAGGTCTTATCGTTTTGGGTGCAGGTGGGGTTTGAGCTTCAGTTTCATGTTCAGGTGGATCTGTAGATGAGTCGGGCCTCAAGGTGTCAGGTGCAGGTGGAGTTTCAGCTTCAGTTTGACTATGAAGATCAACTGTTCTCATGGTGACCTGAACCCACTTAAGGTCAGGATCTACACAGATAGTCTGACCTCTCTGAATGGTAAAGCTGCAGGAAAGAGAACATAAGTGTTTGTGTTGAACTGTAATGTTTAACTTTATACAACAGTTCCGGCCACGGAGGTGGCCAAGGAGGTGATCATAATGTTATGCCTGGTCGGTGTAAGCAAGCAAGGATTCATAAATCAGTTGCATTCTTGTACAAAATTAAGCATGTATGCATGTCAAACTGGGGACTTTCTGGGTCAAAGTGCTGTGGAGGTCAATGTTCACCCTCATCTAACACTCTGAATTCAGCTCATTAAGGCCTTGCTAATTAGCTGATGAGCTGAATTAGCTGTGTTTAATGAGGCAGTGAGCTGAAGTCTGCAGTGTTTTGGCCCACAATGATTGGAGATTGACACATGTGATGTACACAATATACAATAGTTTGTGTGCCTGCTTAGTCCCACACATTTTCTAGAAAAACTAGACAAGAGATCAGTCCTGTTTTGGCCTATGAGTGATTTTGCCTCATTTTAGCTAAATATATAGGAAGTGTTACACACTGTTTACATGGCACCTTAATGACTAAGGCTTCAGTAATCTGCCTTTGTCCAACATTATGTTATGTATTATAACATTATGTATGTTTTCATCTATATTATATTAGATATTAAATATGGTGAGGAGAGAAGTTCAGTATGAATGTAAGACAGGATTACAACACCCAGAAACAGGTTAGGAGCTCCTGTAGGGGGTGCAGTCATGAAGTTCATTACAAATCATGAAAAATAATACTATTAATTAATGGATTCACTTTATTTACAGCACTAGCTTTTTTATAATAGACTTTTTAAGATCATCGGCCGTTTCTTGCTTTCGTCAGTTCAGACAGATGTGTAAAACATCAGTTTCTCTCAACTTGTGGCACTTTCTATCCATAAATTCATATGTATAGCATCCAAGCAAAGCTAAAAATAAGAGTTTGTGTAAGAATGTGTCCAGGTGTGTTGCTCTGTGAGATTTTGTGTTTGGGTTTCAAATTTTGCAGAACCAGTTTGGTTC